CGCCACGCACTCCAGCCTGGGCAACAGTGTGAGACTCTGCCTCAAAAAAAAAAAAAAAAAAAAAAAGTTAAGAGACTGGCCCAAAGTCACAGAGTGAGTGAGCCGGGAGGGTAGCATTACTTGGAGCTCTTGAATACAAGCACTGGACTCAGCTCTATACTGGGGATGCGTGAGTGCTTCATCAGAATGGCTCTTTACCAGGCACAGTGGTGCATGCCTGTAGTCCCAACTACTCAGGAGGCCAAGGCAGGAAGATTGCTTGAGGCCAGGAGCTTGAGACCAGCCTGGGCAACATCTCTGCAAAAGCAAGACCCCATCTCTATGAAAAATTTAAAAATTCTCGGGCAGGGTGACATATGCCTATAGTCCTATCTACTCGTGAGGCAGAGGCACGAGAATCTCTTGAGGCCAGGAGTTCAAGACCAGCCTGGGCAATATAGCAAGACCCTTACCTCTAAAAAAATTAAAATATTTTTAAAAAGAAAAGTACTTTATTTATTCTATCACAGAGACATTTTTGGAATTACTGTCAGCAGAGGCAGGATGTGTGGTTCCCACAGAGGTAAGGTAGCAGAGACACTCTTTTAGGTAACCAGCATGACTTCCTTTGGGTAATCATCCTTATCCCAACTCCATGGGATCCGGAAGGAGCGGCTAATCACAGTGTCCTACAGGAATGACCGTGTCGGCCAGGCGCGGTGGCTCACACCTGTAATCCCAGCACTTTGGGAGGCCAAGGCAGGCAGATCACAAGGTCAGGAGTTCGAGACCAGCCTAGCCAACATAATGAAACCCCGTCTCTACTAAAAATACAAAAATTAGCCAGGCATGGTGGTGCATGCCTGTAGTCCCAGCTACTCGGGAGGCTGAGGCAGGAGAATCGCTTGAACCCAGGAGATGGAGGTTGCAGTGAGCGGAGATCACGTCACTGCACTCCAGCTTGGGTGACAGAGAGATACCTCATATCAAAAAAAAAAAAAAAAAGGCTGGGCACAGTGGCTCACTCCTGTAATCCCAGCACTTTGGGAGGCCAAGGCGGGTGGATCATGAGGCCGAGAGATTAAAACCATCCTGGCCAACATGGTGAAACCCCGTCTCTACTAAGAACACAAAAATTAGTTGGGTGTGGTGGCGCATGCCTATAGTCCCAGATACTCAGGAGGCTGAGGCAGGAGAATCACTTGAACCCAGGAGGCGGAGGTTGTAGTGAGCCAAGATCACACCACTGCACTCCAGCTTGAGCAACAAAGCGAGACTCCGTCTCAAAAAAAAAAAAAAAAAAAAAAAAAAGCTGGGTGTGGTGGCGCATGCCTATAGTCCCAGATACTCAGGAGGCTGAGGCAGGAGAATCACTTGAACCCAGGAGGCGGAGGTTGCAGTGAGCCAAGACCACACCACCACCCAGCCTTGCTTGCACCTAACTCATCCAACCTGAACTAAAAAAAAAAAAAAAAAAAAAAAAAAAAGGAATGACCATGTCATCCAGACTGGGCCAGAGGAGAAAGTGATTAGTTTAGGAGTATATGACCCAGACAGGGTGTTTTCTGGAACTAGGAAATGAATACTATGGGGTGGGGGTGGTGTTTTACAGCTAAATTTAAAACATAGAAGCCAGGAGCAGCCCAGGTGCAAACTGGATAAACTCATTTGCTCATCATAACAGCCCTACATTTACCATCTCCATTTCACAAACAGGAAAACTGGGGCCCAGAGGGTTAGGGTCACACAGTTACAAAGTGGTGGGACTAGGATCTAAACTACTCAGGCAGTTTGACCTTACAGTCAGCTGCCTTAACCACTAATGAAAGCTAAGCCGCTGGAAAAGTGACAGAGGAAAGGCAAGTGTTGCAGAGGAAAGTCAAGTGTTGCAGAGGAGCTTGGTTACTTTGTAAAAGAGGAAGGAAGAGGATGTGTGCATTGGTAGGAGGGCCACTCACCATGCAGGCCTGAGCCAGGCTCATGGCCAGGCGGAACCGGGCAGACATGGCAAGAGGCAGCAGGGGGCTGAGACCAGAGCCCACAGCAGGGTTGATCACACGCAGGCAGCGGACCACAGCCTCTACAACCAGCTCAGTGGTGAAGGCGCGCAAGGTCTGCACATCTGGAGGAACTGCCCTGAAGAAGAAGGGGACCAGCTTGATCAGGGGAACAGTTAGGCAAGAGGGATCAGGCTGAGCCCTGCAGCCTTTTGGAATCACTAGTACCAGGGTAGAGGCAGGGAGGATGCCTACAGTTCAGACAGATCCTGGATGTTGGTGACTGTGACTTCCATTTGAAAAACCAGGAACTGGCCGGGCGCGGTGGCTCAAGCCTGTAATCCCAGCACTTTGGGAGGCCGAGACGGGCGGATCACGAGGTCAGGAGATCGAGACCATCCTGGCTAACACAGTGAAACCCCGTCTCTACTAAAAAATACAAAAAACTAGCCTGGCGAGGTGGTGGGCGCCTGTAGTCCCAGCTACTCGGGAGGCTGAGGCAGGAGAATGGCGTAAACCTGGGAGGCGGAGCTTGCAGTGAGCTGAGATCCGGCCACTACACTCCAGCCTGGGCGACAGAGTGAGACTCCGTCTCAAAAAAAAAAAAAAAAAGAAAGAAAAACCAGGAACTAGGGAAATCCTCAGGTCCTAAGATCTTGGAGTAGGAGAACGGTGGATGGAAGAGAACTAAGTTTAGAAAAATATCAAAATTTGGGGGTCTGGGAAGGTTAAGGGGTCCAGGTGGCACAATCTCTGGGTTTCTTGGTTCCCAGATAGTATGTTCTTTGCATACATATTGAGCTGCTAGAGTTTTAAGAAGACTAGATTTTAGGAGGCTGCTGTTTTCAGAAGTTCCAAATGTCAGGATCCCTGGGTATAAAGATCCCTGAATATCAAGACCACCTAGTTTCAAGCAATACAAAAATCAGACTCCCTAGATGTTGGCATCCTGGGTTTTTCGGGTCCCTGAACGGAGGAGTCTTCGTGCATCAGGATGACCAAATGCTGATGTCAGATTTTAGAATCCTGGGGTTTTTTGGCTGGGCGCGGTGGCTCACACACCTGTAATCCCAGCATCTTAGGAGGTGGAGGCAGGCAGATCACTTGAGGTCAGGAGCTGGAGACCAGCCTGACCAACATGGTGAAACCCTGTCTCTGCTAAAAATACAAAAATTAGCCGGGTGTGGTGGCACACGCCTGTAATACCAGCTACTTGGGAGGCTGAGGCAGGAGAATCACTTGAACCCGGGAGGCGGAGGCTGCTGTGAGCTGAGATCACACCACTGCACTCCAGCCTAGGAGACAGAGCGAGACTCCATCTCGGAAAAGAAAAAAAAAAAGAATCCTGGGTGTTTTTTAAGCCCCAGGTGTTTGGGGAACTGGAGTTTGAAGGATCCCAAGTATCCCGTCCAGGGATTTTTTTGGAGTCCCCGAGTGCCAGGGCCCTGGGGTTTTATGCTCCCTGGTTCTTAGGGCACAGGGGTCTTAGGGTCTCCACATAACAGGGTCTCAGGGTGTTGATGTTAAGATCCCCAGATTACAGGGTCCCGGGTCTTGAGGTTTCAAGGTTGTAACGTCTCAAGGTGTCTGGGTCCCAGAACTTTGGGTGTACTAAATATCATGGTCAAAGGATTTGGGAGGCCCCTGATGTCGGTGTCAGGGAGGGCGGGGTGTGTGTGTGTGTTAAGGGGGTAAGGGTCTTAGGATCCTTGAGTTGGAGCCCTGAATGTCAGGGCTCAGGGTCCCGGGTTTTAAGGTTCCCGGGAAACGGGGGTCCTGGGCTTTAGAGTCCCGGATGTGGGCTTCGCGGGTGGGCGGGGGCGCTGTCCTTACGTGCCGGCCTGGCGCAGGGAATGGATGAGGATTCGGTCCGCCTCCTCCATGGTGGAGCCGTGTCGGAGTCGGGGGCTGGGTCAGGGCCGGGTCCGAGAAAGTGGGGAGCAGCTGTAGAAACCCTGCTCCGTGCTCGCGGTCCAGAGTGTCACGGGCCCTGTGGGGAGAGTTGGGAAGTGTAGTTCTGTGAGCGAGCACGGCGCATGCCGGATGTGAGGCCTGGGGTGAGTGTGCACGGAGGTTGAGCTTGCAATAGCTGCTGGGAGTTGTAGTTCTTCCACCTGCAGTCCAGTGGGCTCTTCCAAGGGAAAAAGGAACAACCCGTGTGGTGGGGAGTGGCGGGACCGGACAGAAAGGGGCTTCTTAACTCATTCGTTTAAGGCGGCATTCATCTTCTAGGCTATGAAAGTGTACACATTAAGGGCAGAATTTTAACACAAAGTGACTACTTCCCTATGTCTTAGTCTCCTCATCTGTAAAATGGGACTATTGACAGTACCTGCTTTTTAGGATTAAAACAGAATTAATTTATATAAAGCATGTTGTACTATGTGCCTGACACATAAGATAAGAAAGCACTATGTAAGTTATAGTTACTAGTATTCATGCATTCAATAAATGCTTTAATATGATACACATTTGTACACTCCAAAGAATAATTACACAGCAAATATCTATGTAACCGGCTAGGTGCAGTGGCTCACGCCTGTAATCCCAGCACTTTGGGAGGCTGAGTCGGGTGGATCACCTGAGGTCAGGAGTTCAAGACCAGCCTGGCCAACATGGTGAAACCCCCTCTCTACTAAAACGAGAAAAATTAGCCAGGCATGGTGGCGCATGCCTGTAGTCCCAGCTACTCGGCAGGCTGAGGCAGAAGAATCACTTGAACTGGGGAGGCAAAGGTGGCAGTGAGCTGAGATTGTGCCATTACACTCCAGCCTGGGTAACAGAGCGAGACTCTGTCTCTAAATAAATAAATAAATAAATAAATAAAGCAAAAGAAATCTATGTAACCATTTCTTGAACAGCCGAGGCGCGCCTGCAATCCCATCAGTTTTGGAAGCCAAGGCTGGAGGATCGCTTGAGGCTAGGAGTTTGAGACTGGCATGGGCAATACAGCAAGACACCATCTCTTAAAAAAAAAAAAAAATGACACCTGTCCAAGCAGACGTCCCAAGCAGAGCCTGGCAGCATGACCGAGCGCCGCGTCCTCTTATGGCTCCTGCCGGACCCCAGCTGGGACCCCTTCCGCAACTGGTACCCGCACAGTCGCCTCTTCGACCAGGCCTTCGGGCTGGTCGCAGTGGTTTGGCACCAGCAGCTGACCAGGCTACGTGAGCCCCCTGCCCCCCACCGCGGTCGAGAGCCCCGCGGTGGCCGCGCCCGCCTACAGCCGCGCGCTCAGCCAGCAGCTCAGCAGCGGGGTCTCGGAGAACCGGCCCACGGCGGACCGCTGGCGCGTATCCCTGGACGTCAACCACTTCGCCCCTGACGAGCTGACAGTCAAGACCAAGGGTGGCGTGGTGGAGATCACCGGCAAGCACAAGGAGCGGCAGGACAAGCATGGCTACATCTCCCGCTGCTTCATCCGGAAATACACGCTGCCCCATGGTGTGGACCCCACCAAGGTCTCCTCCTCCCTGTCGCCTGAGGGCACACTGACCGTGGAGGCCCCCATGCCCAAGCTAGCCACGTAGTCCAACTAGATCCCCTTAGAGTCGCGGTCCCAGCTTGGGGGCCTAGAAGCTGGGAAATCCGACCAGTCTGCAGTCAAGTAAAAGCCTTAGCCCGGATGCCCACCCCGGCTGCCACCACTAGCCATGCCCCCTCACCCACCTGTGTGTTCTTTTGATACGTTTATCTTCTGTTTTTCTCAAAGTTTGAAGCAACCCAAAATTAAAAAAAAAAAAAAATTAGTTGGGCATGGTGAGGCACAACTGGCTGAGGCCTGAGGATCACTTGAGCCCAGGAATTCAGCGCTACTGTGAGCTATGATCAAGCCACTGCACTCCTGCCTGGGTGACAGAGCAAGACCCTGTCTCTAAAAATAATAATAATAATTGATAATATTTGATCTTTTTTCCATAGAGATATTGCACATATATTAGGTTTTTCCTACATACTTCGAATTCCATATACTATTGGAAAATGACATCCTTTTCTTATTTTAGTTTGACTGTTTGCCACAGGTGTATATTTGGTAAACATTTCATCTGTTGCCAGGCTCTGGCCCACAAACGTCCCATTTGCACCCCCACCGCCACCCTCCATACGACATTGTTATCGCCCCGCCCTGTGGCCTTAATCCCTCCAAAGCTGGGGGAAGAGAGGGGGGTTGTGTGCAGATGGCCCTTCAATCTCGAAAGGAAGATGTCGGAATCTGAAGGCAGGAAAGGTGAGAGAATCCTTCCATCCCTGCAGACCCTTGGAGCAAGGTGGAGCTCCACCCTCAGCCCCTCTGACCCACCCGTTGCCCACCCAGACCTCACCCCCAGAGAGCCTCTAGGTGACCAGAACCACATCACCCTGTTCCCCATCCCAGCCAGCCCCAAACAGCCTCTCTGCCACCAGAGCCCTAATGCTCAGCCTGACCCAGACACTGCCCCCCATGGCCTCTCAGCCTCATCCACAGCCTTAGTTCCCAAAGGAAACCCAACCTCAATCCTGGCTCTGACCCCTATCCGAACGCCCACCTGAAACCTAACACAAAGTCTACCAACCAGAAGGCAAACCCCTGTTAGAGTCCAAACCCCACCCCAGATACAGACCTAAAGTCACCTAACCTCAACCTCAACCCCGGGATGTCAATACTGTTAGTGAGTGCAGTCTCTGACTTTCCAGAAAGTACACAGACCCTTTTAAAAAAAACAAAAACAAAAGAGAGAGAACACATACTTGATGGTGGTAGTAAGCCATGAGGGCTCTAGAGTTAGACTGGGTGTGACTCCCCATTCAGGCACTTCAGCAAGTCGCTTAACCTTTTCTTCTCAATTTTCTCATCCGCAAAATGGGAATAACACTATGTGCCAGGCATTCTTTTGATTCTGAACTCATTTAATCCTCACAACACCGATATATTGTAGGTAGTCTTATTATCATCCTTTTTATACAGATAAGGAAACTGAGGCTCAAAGAGATTACATAATTTGCCCAAGGCAACACATAGCTACCAAGTGGTAGAGTCAGGATTTAAACTCAGGCAGCCTGTTTCCTCCAAAGCTGAGAATCTTAACCAGGCCGATCTACTGCCGCTCTGAGGCTGAAACGAGACCATGGGAACTGGGAGTGGTCTTAGCTGAAAACCCCAATGCAAACTTCAAGTCCCACTCAAAACTCACCTTTGACCCTAACCTGTATCCTAATTCTAATTCCAATTCATTCAAATACCCAGTCCTAACCCTTAGTCAAAGCTCCACTCCTACCTATATTTAAACCCATCTCCACCCTAACCCAAAATCCACTACTCAAATTTAACCTTAAATTTGCCCACTGCATGGCAATTTAAACTTTACCCCCAACTCAAACACCAAACCCTACTGCATTTGGAAATGTAATCTCACCTTCACTCCCCTATAAACTCTCACTCTAGCCTTAATCTTAATTCGAACACTCTTACTTCCCAGTCCTTAACCCAGCTACTCCCAGCTCTCCCTAATTTTCCATGCTCTTCTCTCCTTCCTTCAAACAGAGGGACAGGATCAGGTAGGAAGCAGCCACAATTGCCCCAATACCCTGTCCCTCCCTGACGAAGTTTCTCCATATAGACACCACCCCAGAGCCCAGTCCAGCCAATGGGGCAGGCCCTGGTCCCGAATGGGGGCTGTGCCCCGGACCCCCAGCTGTGGAAGGTGAAAGCAGTGGGGCATCAGGCCTAGGGACCCCTAAGCGAAGAAACCAGCACAGCAAGCACAAGACAGTGGCAGTGGCCAGTGCCCAGCGGTCACCTCGGGCACTCTTCTGCCTCACCCTGGCCAATCCTCTGCGACGGTCCTGCATCAGCATCGTGGAGTGGAAGCATCCTGGAAGGCAGTGGCGGGGCCCAGGGGTAAGGGTCGTCAGGGTACCAGAAGTCAAGAATTGGGTCAGGGCTGGAATGGAGGAGGGCCGAGGTTATCAGGGTCAAGAGTCAAGAATTGGATTGGGGGGCCGGTTCAGAAAGGCAAAGGTCACCGGGATTCAAGAGTCAAGGACTGAATCACAGCAAGAGTTGGGGATGGCTAAGATTTCCAGGAAGGACAAAGTCAAGGCCTTGTCAGGGCAGGGGTCGAGAATGTCAGGACCTATCACCTTGGGAGTCAAGGGTCAGTGCTGGGTGGGAGGTCCCCAAGGGAGTGTGGGGGTTCCAGTGCCACTCTGCCAGGGTCCTTGACTGTGTCCACCTGAGGCCCTTCGACATCCTCATTCTGCTGACCATCTTTGCCAACTGCGTGGCCCTGGGAGTTTACATCCCCTTCCCTGAGGACGACTCCAACACTGCCAACCACAACCTGGTAAGGCCCGCCCCGCCCCAGCCCGTTCCCAGCCAGCTAGAGACCTAATAGAGCTCACTCCTTCCAGCCAGACCCCGCCCCCTCTCTGACCCAGATGGCCTTGCCTGGCTCAGCCCCACCCTCGGTCCTGACTATGCTCCCCATGCCCCCGTCAAACCCCGCCTTCAAATAACTCCCCGACTTCCCGCCCCGCCCCCGGTCCCACCCCCCAGGAGCAGGTGGAGTACGTATTCCTGGTGATTTTCACTGTGGAGACGGTGCTCAAGATCGTGGCCTACGGTCTGGTGCTCCACCCCAGCGCCTACATCCGCAACGGCTGGAACCTACTCGACTTCATCATCGTCGTTGTCGGGTGCGCGTCTGCGGGGGACACCCCACCCTAGTCGCCTTCCTACCCTCAGGCCTGCTGAATTCTGGGCTCAGGAAAGCGACTCTTTCAGACCGCCCCCATTCGGCAGCCAGAATCAGGAATATTATTAAAACCCATTTCTATTTCTAGTTACAGGGACTTGTGCTTTTCTGAGAAGGTTAGGGTGGAGGGGGGAATCCCAAGGCCTGACCTCCGCCTCCCTGCTTGGTGCTCCCCCATCAGGCTGTTCAGTGTGCTGCTGGAGCAGGGCCCCGGACGGCCAGGCGACGCCCCGCACACGGGGGGAAAGCCAGGAGGCTTCGATGTGAAGGCATTGAGGGCGTTTCGGGTGCTGCGGCCACTGAGACTGGTGTCTGGGGTCCCGAGTGAGTGGCACATCCCCCGAGGTCGGAGGTGGAGGGTGGGGGTGGGGCTGAGCTGACCCCGCCCTTATTTCTGCCTACCCCTCCCTCCCCGCAGGCCTGCACATAGTGCTCAATTCCATCATGAAGGCTCTGGTGCCGCTGCTGCACATTGCACTGCTCGTGCTCTTCGTCATCATCATTTATGCCATCATTGGGCTCGAGCTGTTCCTTGGACGAATGCACAAGACGTGCTACTTCCTGGGATCCGGTTAGTCGGCCCGCCCCTCCTAGGCAGAACATGCCCCGTCCTCTGGTTTCTAGATCCAATACTGCACTCAGAGAAACCCGCTGAAATTCACAAGACTCCGCCCCCAGGCTCAGGTTCCATCCCCAGATAACTAAGTCCCACCCATATATTCAAGACTCTGCCCTAAATCAGACTACAACCCCACCTCGCTAATAACTCCGCCCCATCACAAGACTGTACCCACAGGCTAAGGTCCTGCCCCGCACTTAAGACAAGACCCTGCGCCTTGGCTCGCGCCTGTATTCCCGGCATTTGGGAGGCCGAGGCGGGAGGATCATTTGAACGCAGGAGTTCGCGACCAGCCTGTGCAAAATAGTGAGCTCCAGTTTCTAAATAATAATAATAATAATAATAATAAAATTAAAACAATTTTTAAAAACTTTATCGGCCGGGCGCGGTGGCTCACGCCTGTAATCCCAGCACTTTGGGAGGCCAAGACGGGCGGATCACAAGGTCAGGAGATCGAGACCACCCTGGCTAACACGGTGAAACCCCATCTCTACTAAAAACACAAAAATTAGCCGGGCGCCGTGGCGGGCGCCTGTAGTCCCAGCTACTCGGGAGGCTGAGGCAGGAGAATGGCGTGAACCCGGGAGGCGGAGCTTGCAGTGAGTGGAGATCGCACCACTGCACTCCAGCCTGGGCGACAGAGCGAGATTCCGTTTCAAAAAAAAAAAAAAAAAATTATCCTCGGCTGGGCGCCGTAGGCTCATGCCTGTAATCCCAGCACTTTGGGAGGGTGAGGCAGATGGATCACTTGAGGTCAGGCGTTCGAGACCAGCCTGGCCAACATAGTGAAACCCCATGTCTACTAAAAATACAAAAAATGAGCCGGGCGTGGTGGTGCACATCTGTAATCCCAGCTACTCGGGAGGCTGAGGCATGAGAATCGCATGAGCCTGGGAGGCGGAGGTTGCAGTAAGCTGAGATCGGATCGCACCACTGCACTCCAGCCTGGGCGATGGAGTGAGACTCGGTCTCAAAAAAAAAAAAAACTATATTCTCCATGACTGGTCTCATACACTCAGACCATTTACCCAGCCCCCAGCCCATGCCTTGACCCTCCCCTCTTTTCAAGAGACCCGTCCAAATTCACAAGACTCCGCCCCCAGGCTCTTGCCTCATTGTTATTTACAAGACTCCACGCCAGGATTTAAATCCCTGTTGGTGGGATCCCTAGCTTGCCAGTGGTTCAGAATACGGAGCTCGCAGGGTTCTGCCCTAGAAGTGGAGCTAAGTGTTGCCTTAGAAAAATGTAGGACTGACCGGGCACGGTGGCTCACGCCTGTAATCCCAGCACTTTGGGAGGCCCAGGCGGGCAGATCACAAGGTCAGGAGTTCGAGACCAGCCTGACCAATATGGTGA